CTGGCTGAGCAGGAAGTACATGGGTGTGTGAAGCCGGGGGTCGGCACAGATGAGGAGAATGGTGAGGCTGTTGCCACTCACTGCAATAAGGAAGACTACTGTGATGAAGGAGCAGAGAAAAAGGTGTGCCAGGGAGTCATCAAAAAGTACCTCAAGGATGAAGTCTTCCAGAGAAGTCTGATTCCTCTGCCACATGTCCCTTTCACAGTGCCTGAGGATATCAGGAGAGGAGATGAAATGACATATCAGAAATACTGTCATCCAGAACACCTCACAATAAGCACTTTTTGATCTATGGCTTTGTGAAGTTTTTTATTTCTAATCATTTAATACCTATAAATATTAGATAACATTTTTAAATAAAAGATAAAATCCTAAAATCTATCTTCACACACATAACTAACTTGAAATTTCAGAATATTGGGACTGTGTTAATGGAAAAATATCAAGTTTCTTGTCTGTAATAAATGTATGTATATGTATTGCATAAATATTATATATACATTATATGTATTTGTTATATATAAATAAATTATGTGTTTTGCAACAAACATGTGTATATATACATGTTTGTACTGTGCATGTGATTTGTATCTATGTGTGATTTGCTTGCTTCAGTTGCAGATTTCATCAACTAGTCTACACCACAGAAGGTGAACCACTAAGATATTTCTACACATATACATAAGAGTAATGGGCTACTAAAAATTTTGCCCTCTGCAGTTGTGGAAGTCTATGTAAGGATGTCAACTGTGTCTCTGAGATTAGAGCTTAAAGACCAAAGGAAAGTAATGAGAAAAGGAGGATGGACATTAAAAGGGCAGATAAAGAGCATGGGTAGAATATATATCATTTGAAGAAATGAGTATAGGTGTCAAGTCGATCCATAATAAAGCAATGGTCCTTATTTAACAGAAAATTAACCAGAGGTATGTCTCAGTTAGACATGTGATGCACTGAACATGAATGGGGCAGACAAAACATTGAATCAGCCCAGGTTTTGAAACTTCGTGTAAATCCTAATCAGAACAAGAAATTGGTCTATTCAGTAGCATGGTTTAAATTAAAGGCTGCAATAAACCTACAAATATGCACACAATATATGTTTTAGTTGTTCCTCCTAAAGTTGCCCATAGATTGTCATGTTTTTTCAGATAATTTGTTTGGTCTTAAAACAAAGACCTCAGAACCTAATCCTTTCTTCAAATTGTTATTGGGTCAGTAAGGAAGAGGTCAAATTTATTTTCTCTCTCTAATGACTGTCAGCCTATGGCCTCATATTTATGAAATTACCTCATGCTGTTTTTTCACACTTGGAGTCTGTGGACTGAGAGGCTGAAATATCCTCATGCACCTCCTGACTAAAACTGAAATGAGAATCAGGATATTTCCTTTTTCCTTAAACACCCACATACTTCTCTCTTTCCCCACTATAGTTGATACCTACAAATTACTATAGCAGAAATTTATCCAACTCTTCCCTTGTTTCCTCCCTTACTCATCTTTCCTAATAATTTCCATACTTATTTACGATGCTCAAAAGACTTTTTTTCTGCACTTTCAAAGACCTCTCATTGAGAACTGACCAATATCACATTCCGACTTAAAGGATAAACTGACACTTGCCTAAACTCTAATAAAGGAATCCTCACACACAGTCCCAAACACTATCTTACCTGAAATTTCCTCCACATAGATATTGTCAGAACAAGTGTAGAAGTGACACCGAGAAGCCAAATATAGTCCACGCCGACCCACACATAAACTATTGATCATCCAAAAGAGCCTTGGCTGAGGTGCTCATCAGACTTCCTTCCCTATACCTTCATACAGCAGCAGAATGGCATAGGGAACTTTGGCCCAGCACCATCATGATTACCTGCATGGAGTATCCCAGTGGCAGATCATCCCATAGCATGTGATTATGTAACAAACTCACCATGTGTCCTCACATTTCAAGCTCTGTCAGCACACAGCAGGATAAATTAACTAAACTTCTTTAACCCTCCTACTTGTGTCTTAGATCATGCAGGTGTTTCTCTGGGCTCTAAACATATATCGGAACCACATTTCCATTCTAGTTTGAGAAACTGAGCAATGAAAACTTCCAACAATTTTACTTCATTAAGGGGCTAAACACGCCAGCTTAATTATCAATGTTTAAGAGTCTGTTTTGAACTGTCCTTGTTGTGAATCACTAAACTGCTGTTCTTACGGTTTTCCCCTCCTTCCTAACTTTCTATGATATAAGTTTGGCTTAAACTTTCAGGGAGCCCCTTCCTAACTACACAAATGTTCCCTCATCAATAATCACAGGGGTTGGAATGACAGCATAATTGGTCTACAATATGCCAGTCCTTAGGGAAGAGGAGCATCAACTGTGAGACATGAAACAATCTCCTACCCCAGATGACCTGTGATATCAGCTAAGGCAATTTAAGAACACAGAGACGGCACCAAGGATTCCTACTTGGTGTCTTCTGGGGACTAAAGCCCAAGATGCCAATTAATCTGTACTCTATATACTGAAATAAGCTTTCTCAAGGGACTTTACTGGTAGTTTGTTTGTAGAATTGCGGGATGAGATATTTTGGGGAGGCTAACTCTGAAAATAAAATGGAATATTCTTTTTAGGGACCTCTTAATCGTGGGAGAAATCATTCTAGAGTTCCTGGCCTGTTTTACATTTTCCTACACTCTAATTCATTTCTTTCTCTATAGGGTTTATTGTATCTTTCATTCTGTTTAATTTGAATTTCACTAAGAAAAATTAGACAGGCCTGAGGAGCGTGGTGGCACATGCCTGTAAGTCCAGGACTCTGGGAAGCTTATATGGGAAAGTCACTGGACATTCAAGTCTAACAACCATGTAATTAAAAAAAGAAAAGATAAGAAAATGAGACAGAAAGAGAAGAATATCTCAATGTATGTGTTTTCATTCTTCTCAGGTGAATTTTATGCCTACTGGAAATTTAGAAGTCAAAGCAGTGTGCCTCAAACTGATCATATGCTAAAAGTCAAGAGGTGCTAGGGTATTTACCAACTAAAGATTATTAATTTATATAGGAAACACTTATTATTTATTCTGTACTAGGCTTCTTTCTTGGCTCTGACAAGATCACTAAACAAAGCACATTCCTCGTACTTGGGAACCTTATTTTCTAGTACGGTAGACAATAATTATAACATAAATAGCATAATAGTATGTACTGTCTAAGTAGTGTTTTTAAACTAAAGTAGAAGAAGCAATAAAATGAAAATGTCACTACTACATTATTGAAATGCCATATTCAGGCCAAAGTGCAATAAAAACACACAGGGAAGGGGGAGATCCATTGCAATGTCGCAAGATCACCTTTTGAGAAGGAGTAGATCTGTGCATTGCACCAAGTAGAGGAAGAAGGAAGGGGAAAGTGGCTTGTGTTAGCGGCGCACAGTAAGCAAAGAGAAGTAGTGTGCTGGGTCTTACAGGGCCTCTCATGCTCAGAGATGTGCTTTAGATTTTATCTAAACGTAACACTGAGAGATGTGAAAGGTTTTTAGGGGAAGAATAAAGTGGTCTCTTTTTTGCAAGGACAATTCTAGCTTCTGTCTGAGAATAAGAACAAGAAAATGGATATAAATGAGATGATTGCAGTACTTGAAGAAAGTTATGATAGTTGAAATGTTGGTGGATAGGCATTGTCTTAGCCACTTAACACTGCTGTAACAAAAATGCTATCCACTGAGTAGCTTTATCAACAAAAAATTATTTCTCACAGATCTGGAATTTGTCAAGTTCAAGACCAAGGGGCTGCTATATTCAATGTATTGTGAGAGCCCTGATTCATACAATCTCTCTCCTTCTGTCTCCCTCTCTCTCCCCCTCTTAATAAAGTTTTTATGAACAGGCAATGGAGGAGGGAGTAAAGGGCGGGCAGGGGTATGGGGAAAAAATGAGAACCAAGACCTGTCATGTAAAGGTACAAGACCCCAATGATGAATGTAACTATATTGTGTACCTAAAATGTACCAATAAACTCAATGAGAAAAAAAAGCATAATAATCCCACATGAGGACATCATCCTTTTGACCTGATCACTTCTCAAAAACACCCACTTCATAGACAACCACATTGGGGATTAGGATCTCCATATGAATGTTGGAGGGAAACAAGCATTTAATCTATAACAACCATTTTAGTATAATATTTTGAGAAATCAACATAGTAAAGTGTGAGAGGAAAAAAAGCACCAAAGACAACCAGGTTTCTGACCTATAATTTTGGAACCATTGATTGAAATAGGAAATACCAGAAAAAAAATCATGTTTGGAGTGACTTTCATTTTGGATCTGCTGCACTGATTCATTAGTCAAGTGGAAATGTAGAGTTAAGTTTGATCATGTAAGTCAGGGATTCATAAAAAAAAGCAAAAAAATGAAAATAAAAATTTTAAATACTATGTAAGACTACTTGGGAAATAAGAGAAGGAAAGGATCTGAGGCCTTAGTAGGGCAACTCCCATATTAAAAAGTTAAAAGTATGAGAATGCTCAAACCAAAGTAATTTTAAAATGAGGGTCATTACATTTTGAGAAATGAATTGATCATAGTGTCCAGGGAAGAAAGCGTTCCAGAAAGGACAGCTTGTAGGCTAGACAGGTGCTGTTAGGTAAATAGTGTTGACACAGCCAGCCTGAATGTGGGGTTTTGAATGAGACTCCCCCAGAATGACTCCACAGGAAAGTTTGACTATGGTTCATTGAGTAGCATTTTTTATTGACAGGCTGAGAGCAAGGGATCAGTGAAGCAAGACTAGCTCAGCAGCATCTATTATGTGGCCATTGGCTGTCATATCGATGGCGAACTTTTGTTGTGCCAGGTGCACTCTGTCCCAGCGGTGCATGCACGGTGGCTACAGGATATGGGAACTGATTGTGAATGTTCTCAGAGATCGGGTAGTTGCTCCAGAAAAATAGGGGTTAGACCTCTCAGGTAGCTCAGGGCTAGAGCACTTACCTGCTGACACAAGGCCCTGAGCTTTACCTACAAGCACGACAAAATAAGGCAAGATTAACCTTTTACTACATGTTTGTAAAACAGAATAGTGATTTTTTTTAAGTAGGATAGATGGTAAACACATAAAATATTTCAATCATTGCCTCCCTCTTTTTTCCCTCCCCACTCCTACTACTGCCTTTCCAGTTCCCAGTTATATCTCCTTGTATTTTATTCATGAGAACTCTCTGAATACCTGTTGTGTGAACTAAAAATTCACCACTGTGTGTGGCAACACAGAGGCCAATTCTGTCACACTAATGGATTCATACGATGGTGATAACAAAAACCAACATAAGTGTTCCTGGGAGAAAATAAAAGTACAAGAAATGGAAGTATAATGTAAACAAAAATGCTCTGGAATTTTCTATAAAACTGGATCAGCTTTGTAGGATTTTTCTTTTAGGAATTTTCTTTTAGACGTGGGACCTATTGAAGTAAGTCTATAGGCTGAAAGGATTGATCAAGTACACAGGAAAAGTTGATTCAGGGGAGAAAAGGAAGAATTTCAAGGATAAGAACCTTAAGACCTCATGCACAAGTAGAGAAGGCAACCCTAGATGAGAATCCCCCACAGAGCTAATGGCTATGATTACAGTGTTATCCCATCTGCATAGTGTTAACTCAGGTGATCTTGACCTCACTGGAGGAATTCTGCTATCGACCTCCTCTTGCACTTGTGCTGGGGGCATATTTCAAATCACAGGTACAAAAACCATAGTCCCCAAGTATAGTTATTTAGTGGTCCCACTGATTCTGTCATCTTCTCAACATCCCTTCAATAAAGTTCTCTTCTGTTTTTATCATTAAGAGTCCACTTCTTTTACTCAGAACTAAGGTCCACAACACAGAATTTCAGACAATCCCATTTTCCCATTAGCCTATGACATTACTAGTGCCTGTAGAAACTGATGTACTATATATCACAGTGTTGGTAAGTGACAGATTCTAATACAACCACAAGGTCAGAGACCATCAGAAAGAAGTTATCTTCATCCTTTGAAATAACATAAATTAATATGCCTACCTGATCCAGCAGGTCAAATGCAAACCAAACAAATCACAAGCATAAATTTAAATATGTTAACTTTTATAAGAGAAATTCCAACTCCTATTGTAACACTTCGGTCACTATAGCCACTCAATAAACTGTATTTCATATAACATATAAGTATTATAATATGTGTACACAAAATACATTATATCTTCAATTCAGAATTCGTATATATTGATTCAAAGAGCTTAATGAATATAATTTAATAGCATCAATTTTTCCTTTCAAAATACCTTGTGCTTCACACGTTTTCAACATTAAGCAGCACACTATCCTTTCAGATACGAATCGATAAATACTCTCTGCTGGCATCATTTACATACGATTCTGTTAGTGAAAATAATGATGGGAAAAGATGCTTATATCTTTATCTTACTATCTTTTTTAGAGTGTCACTGGCTTCTAGATGTCTTCTTTTTAAAACATTTTTTAAAGATTTACCCTAATTCTCTAAACTTTTCCAAAACCTATGTATTGGGTGGTACTTCAATGCCTGAAATCATGCTAGAAAAGAAAAATTATATTTCAAGCACCTCTCTACTGGAGCAGTCAAACAGTATCTGTGACATGGATTGTTGAAAAATCTTAGGGGTTTCTGTAGAACAATTGAAGAAGCTCATCCTGTTCCACTTCACAAGCAGGGCAACAACTACACTTGCTTTCATTGGGTGATAGTATCCCTCCGCAGCACTTTCTTCAAAGCCTTGGCTACATCCTTATTCCGGAGAGTGTAAATCAGAGGATTCAGAGTGGGAGTGACGATGCTGTAGAACACAGAACCGATTTTGTCTTGAAGTGGAGTTCTCTGGGACCTAGGCCTCATGTAGGAAAAGATACAGGCACCAAACCAGAGGAACACCACAGTGAGGTGAGAGCTACAAGTGGCAAAAGCATTCCTCTTACTGCCGGCTGAACGCATCTGGATGACAGTGTGGAGGATGAAGCCATAGGACGTACAAACCAGGATGATGGGGAGAAGGAGAAGTATGATGCTGCTGAAGTACAATGCGGTCTCATAAATAGTGATGTCACCACATACCAACTTCACAACTGCTGGGCAGTCACAGTAGAAATGTTGAATCTTCCGAGATCCACAATAAGGCAAACACATCAAGATAACTGTCTGAACTAGGGAGTTAGTGGCTGCCCCCAGCCATGACACAACAGCCATCATCATCGCCACGTTTCTGCTCATGAGCACAGAATAACGCAGTGGATGACAGATGGCAACATAGCGGTCATAGGACATGAGAGCCAGGAGAATGCACTCAGCACCACCCACAAACAAGTACAGGAAGTGCTGGACTGCACAGCCCACAAAGGAGATGGACTTCTTGCCAGATAGGTAGTTGGCAGCCATCTTGGGGATGGTTGTGGAGACGTGCATCAGGTCCATGAGGGAGAGCTGGCTGAGCAGGAAGTACATGGGTGTGTGAAGCCGGGGGTCGGCACAGATGAGGAGAATGGTGAGGCTGTTGCCACTCACTGCAATAAGGAAGACTACCATGGTGAAGGAGAAGAGAAAAAGGTGGAGCAGAGAGTCATCAAAAAGTCCCTCAAGGATGAAGTCTTCCAGAGAAGTCTGATTCCTCTGCCACATGTCCCTTTCACAGTGCCTGAGGATATCAGGAGAGGAGATGAAATGACATATCAGAATTACTGTGACCCAGAACATCTCACAATAAGCAGGGTTTTTGCCATTAAGTTTATTGGTACATTCAAAGCACATGATACATTTATATTCATCCCTGGGAACTTGTATCCTTACATGATACATCTTGGTTCTTATTTTGTCCCCATTCCTCTGCTCTCCCTTTCACCCCTCCACCCCTCCTTATTTACAGACAATTTTAAGTTATTTTTCTATTTCTAATCATTCAATACCTATAAATATTAGATAACCATTTAAAAATAAATGAGAAATCCCTAAAATCTATCTGCACACACAGCATCAACTTGCAATTTCAGAATATTTGGGCTTTGTTAAAGGAAAAACATGAAGTTTCTTGTCTGATACACACACACACACACACACACACACACATATCTAACAACATGAATGTGTATATTTATAAGTTGGTATTTTGTGTGTGTGATTTCTATTTCTATGTATGTGTGATTTGTTTGGTTTAGCTGCTGATTTTATCACTTAATCTACAGAAAAGAAGATGAATCACTAAGGTATTTCTACATATAGACATTAGTATAATGGGCAATTAATAGAATTTTGTCCTTTGCAGCTGTGGAAGTACATTAAGCAGTCTAAGTAAGAATGTCAACTCTGTCTCTGAGATTAGAATTTAAGGACCAAAGAGAAGCTGTCAGAGAGGATGGAAATTAAAAGGGCAGATAAAGGCAAGGGGAGAATAAAAGAAATTTGAAGAAATGTGTACAGGTGTCAAGTTGATACATGATAGAACAATCATCCTTATTGAACAGAAAGTAAACCAGAGGTATATCTCAGTTAGAGATGTGATGCATCAAATATAAATCAAACAGAAAAATCATTGAATCAGCCAAACTTTTCAAATTTCATGTTAATCCTACTCAGTAAAATAGATTGATCTATTCGATACCACTGCTTAAAAAGAAAGTCTGCAGTTAACCTCCAAATATGCTCACAATTCATGTTTCAGTTATCCATCCTGAATTTGTCCATACACTGTCATGTTTTTCAGATTATTTGTTTGGTCTTTAAAACAAAGATCTCAAAACGGCATCCTTTCTTCAAATTGTTATTTGGTCAGTAGCAACACATCAAATTTACTTTCTCTCCCTAATGATTGTCAGCCTATGGACTCATATTTATGAGATTACCTCATGATGTTTTTTCACACTCAGTGTCTATGAACTAAGAGACTGAAACAACCTCATGCCCCTCCTGAATATGCCAATCTAATTGAGAATCTGCATTTGTCCTTTTTCCTTAAATATCCATACACTTCTCTCTTTCCCCGCTATAGTTAATGCTTACAAATTTCATAGCAGAAATTTATCATTATCTGACCCTTGCCTTGCTTCCTCCCTTACTCACCTTTCCTAATCAATTTCCATACTGATGTATGATTCTCAAAAGACATTTTTTCTGCTTTTTCAAGAACCTCTCATTGAGGACTGATCAATATCACATCCTCACTTAAAGCATAAACTGACAATCGGCTAGTTTCTAACAAAAGAATCCTCACACACAGTCCCAAACACTATCTTACCTGAAATTTCTTCCGCATAGATATTGTCAGAACAAGTGTAGAAGTGACACCGAGAAGCCAAATATAGTCCACGCCGACCCACACATAAACTATTGATCATCCAAAAGAGCCTTGGCTGAGGTGCTCATCAGACTTCCTTCCCTATACCTTCATACAGCAGCAGAATGGCATAGGGAACTTTGGCCCAGCACCATCATGATTACCTGCATGGAGTATCCCAGTGGCAGATCATCCCATAGCATGTGATTATGTAACAAACTCACCATGTGTCCTCACATTTCAAGCTCTGTCAGCACACAGCAGGATAAATTAACTAAACTTCTTTAACCCTCCTACTTGTGTCTTAGATCATGCAGGTGTTTCTCTGGGCTCTAAACATATATCGGAACCACATTTCCATTCTAGTTTGAGAAACTGAGCAATGAAAACTTCCAACAATTTTACTTCATTAAGGGGCTAAACACGCCAGCTTATCAATGTTCCAGAGTCTGTTTTGAACTTTCCTTGTTGTGAATTACTAAAACACTGTCCTTACAGTTTTCCCCTCCTTCCTAACTTTCTATGATATAAGTTTGGCTTAAACTTTCAGGGAGCCCCTTCCTAACTACACAAATGTTCCCTCATCAATAATCACAGGGGTTGGGGCAGGGGATTTAGCTCAGTGGTTCAGTGGCCTGCCTTGCAAGCGCAATGACCTGAGTTCAATCCCCGGTACAAAAAATAATAATAATCACAGGGGCTGGGATGACAACACAATCAGTCTACAGTGGGCCAGTCATGGGTAAAAGGTGCATCCCCTGTGAGGTATGACACACTCGCCTACCCCTGATGGCCTGTGACATCAGCTAAAGAAAGTTGAAAACATGGAGGAGAAGGCACCAGGGATTCCTACTGAGTGTCTTCTAAGGACTATTGCCCAAGATGCCAATTAATCTGTACTCTATATATTGAGATAAGCTTTCTCAAGGGGTTTGACTGATAGTTGGTAGGATCATGGGATGAGATTTTGGGGAGACTAACTCTGAAAATGACATGGGAATATTCTCTTTGGGGATCAATTAACCATGGAGATAAATCGTTCCACAATTCCTGACCTGTTTTGAATTTTTTGTACACTTTATTTCATTTATATTCCCTTGAGTGTTTATTATATCTTTCCTTCTGCTGAACTTTAATCTCACTAAGAAAATGGGATAGGCCTGAGGGGAATGGTGGCATGTGTCTGTAAGCCCAGGACTCTGGGAAGCTTCTGTAGGAGGATCACTGGGAGTTCAAGTCCAGCCTAGTCTACATAGTGAAACCATGAATTTTTTTTTAAATGAAAATGAGACAGAAAGAGAATATCTCAATGATGGTTTCTAAATAGTTTTCACTCTTGTCAGGTGAATTTTATGCCTACTGGAAATTTAGAAGTCAAAGCAGAGTGTGTGTCTCAAACTGATTGTAATCTAAAAGCCAAGAGAAGCTAGGGAATTTACCCATTAAATATTGGCTGTTATTTGTTGTGTTTTGCTCCTGGAGATCACTAATGAGCTGTCATTTCAGGACTACCATACTCTGATGAAACAGGACCCAGAACTCAAAAATGTCCTCAAGTGATTAGAAACTTAGCTGTTTCACTACAATGATAAGTTCCACTATACTGAAAAGATTTATAGGCTGGTACATTATTGCAATGTGAAACTCTTGGCAAAGTGCACTAAGAACACAGAGAGAAGTGAGAGACTTATTACAACCTTGCCAAGCCATCGTTTGAGAATCAGAAAAAAGACTGTGTACCCCCCAGCTAGAAGAGGAAGAAACTTTTTGTACAGTAATGCCCATCCCACATCTCACATTAGTTAAAACTTCATTTTATAGGAAATTAATTTCCCAATATTTCTATGTTTTATACACAGAGTGTGAAGAATGTGGCATCATTACTTATAGTTTAGATAGAGAATGTCTATCAAAAGTCTCATGAGTTCGACGGTGACCTGATCATGGGAGCACAATACTCATCAGTAGATTGCCCACTGAAGAACTCACAGTTAAATCTGCTGTTACAAGGTGGGATCTGGCTGGAAGTGGGCACATGGCTATGGAGGATATGTCTTCCTCTCTGGTTCCTCCCTCATCTCTCTGCTTTCTCACTATAATAAGGGGAGCAGCTTTCCTCAGTCATATACATTCACTGTGGTATTTCTGCCTTGAAGCCAGTTGACCAAGAAATGAACCCACAAAAATCATGAGATAAATGAAATCTGTCCTGTTTTGAGTTGTGGATGTCAGGTATTTTGTCCTAGCAACATGAAATCTGAATAATGCAGAAAAATGATATCATGAATGGGGTCATTCAAAAGGCCAAACACCTTCACTGGAAGAAAGAGAAGCTCTTTAATAAATGCTGCTGGAAAAACTCACTTTCCACATGCCAAGAATGAAACATACGCTCATTTATCTCACCAAGAACTATGCTAAAATTGAAATGGATCAATGATCTAAATATTAAAACAGAAATACTTAATCTGCTGGAAGATAAAATATGTAAAACTTTTAAAGACACATGGGTAGCCAAAGATTTTATGAACAAAACTTTGATCATACAGAAAATATTACACAGGATCAACAACTGGGATCTCATCATATGAAAAAGCTTTTGCAAAGCAAAAGTAGCCACAGAAAAGACCCAGCAAGGACCCAAAGACCCCAGAGGGGGTCTCTTCAGCTGCCTGCCTGCCTGAGAACACCCAGCGGGTGCGTGACCTCCCAGACTGTGCGACAACAGACCCAGTAAGGTAGGTAGCCACACAGGCGCCCTTGAAACACCCTCACGACTCCCCCCCCATTCTAAAACCTCTTGATTGGGCCAGTCCTTAGACAAACTCTGCAGAGGCACAGGTTCTCATGAAGGGTACTTTTCTGAGCACCCAACTTTGAACATCTTTAAAGAAAGGGCAGGGGAAACCTGTAATAGAACTGAGTGGAGTTCAACCCTGAGGGTAGGGAAATTCAAGTTAGGTCTTGTGGACTGTGTTCAGTCTCAGTCATGGGGAACTGCCATTGGATAGCTGAGACCAGGGGATTCGGTTCTGCATATTGCTGTACATGTGGTATCATATGAGAACAGAGACACAGTCTGAAAGAGGCCCTTTAAATTCTTTTTTTTTCTCTTTTTTCTTTTCCTCATTCCACCCTAAAATTTCTTTCTTTTTTCTGTCCTCTCTCTCCAACTCAGTCTCTTGCTCCACCATATTATCCCTCATCTCCCTTTTTATTCTGGCTCCTGCCCTAACTCAGACTTCTTCTTTTATTATTTTTTCTTTTTAGGAGGGGTTTCTCTTTATGTTCTTTTCTCCAGTCATTTTACCTCACTCATGGCTCTGTACCTTCAAGGGAAGGCAAGCGCCTGTTATTGTTAAGGGGATATATTCTTGTCCTTATTCCTGCACTCTCTCTA